AGACGAAATGCTAACTAGAATAACCAGCTTAGAGAAGAACATAAACGACTTGATGGAGCTGAAAAACACAGCACGAGAACTTCGCGAAGCATACACAAGTTTCAACAGCCGAATTGATCAAGCAGAAGAAAGGCTATTAGAGATAGAAGATCAAATCAATGAAATAAAATGAGAAGGCTAGACTAGAGAAAAAAGAGTGAAAAGAAATGAACAAAGCCTCCAAGAAACATGGGATTATGTGAAAAAACCTAATCTACACTTGATCAGTGTACCTGAATGTGACGGGGAGAATGAATCCAAGTTGGAAAACACTCTTCAAGATATTATCCAGGAGAACTTTCCCAACCTAACCAGGGAGGCCAATATTCAAATCCAGGAAATACAGAGAACACCACAAAGATATTCCTCAAGAAGAGCAACCCCAAGGCATATAGTTGTCAGATTCACTAGGGTTGAAATGAAGGAAAAAATCCTAAGGGCAGCCAGAGAGAAAGGCCGAGTCACCCACAAAGGAAAGAAGCCAGACTCACAGTGGATCTCTCGGCAGAAACCCTACAAGCTAGAAGGGAGTGGGGGCCTATATTCAACATCCTTAAACAAAAGAACTTTCAATCCAGAATTTTATATCTGGCCAAAGTAAGCTTCATAAGTGAAGGATAAATAAAATCCTCTATGGACAAGCAATTGCTGAGAGATTTCATTGCTACAAGACCTGCCTTACAGAAGCTACTGAAGGAAGTACTAAACAGGGAACAGAACAACCAGTACCAGCCACTATAAAAATGTACCAAATGGTAAAGAATAATGACTCAATGAAGGAACCACATCAGTGAATGGGTAAAACAACCAGCCAGTAACAAAATGGCAGGATCAAATTCAAACATAACAATGTTTGGGCCTAAATGCCCCAATCAAAAGACAGACTAGCAAATTGGATAAAAAATCAAGACTCATTGGTGTGCTGTATTCAGGAGACCCATCTCACATGCAAAGGCTCACATAGACTCAAAATAACGGGATGGAAGAAAATGGAGAGCAAATGGAGAGAAAAAAAAAAGCAGGGGTTGCAATCCTAGTCTCTGATAAAATGGACTTTAAACCAACAAAAATCAAAAGAGACAAAGAAGGGCATTATATAATGCTAAAAGGATCAATGCAACAAGAAGAGCTAACTATCCTAAATATTTATGCACCCAATGCAGGCGCACCTAGATACATAAAGCAAGTTCTTAAAGACCTACAAAGAGACTTAGACTCCCACACAATAATAGTGGAAGACTTTAACACTCCACTGTCAATATTCGACAGATCAATGAGACAGAAAGTCAACAAGGATATCCAGGACTTGAACACAGATTTGGACCAAGTGGACCTAATAGGCATTTACAGGACACTCCACCCCAAATCCACATAATACATGTTCTTCTCAGCACCACATTGCACTTACTTCAAAACTGACCACATAATTGGAAGGAAATCACTCCTCAGCAAATGCAAAAGAACAGATATCATAACAAACAGTCTCTCAGACCACAATGCAATCAAATTAGAACTCAGGATTAAGAAAAGCACTCAAAACCGCACAATCACATGGAAACTGAACAACTTGCTCCTGAATGATGAATGGATAAACAAGAAAATGAAGGCAGAAATAAAAATGTTCTTTGGAAGCAACAAGAATGAGGACACAATGTACCAGATCCTATGGGACACATTTAAAGCAGTGTCTAGAGGGAAATTTATAGCAATAAATGTCCACATGAGAAACAAGGAAAGATCTAAAATCGACACCCTATCATCAAAATTGAAAGAGATAGAGGAGCAAGATCAAAAAAACTCAAAATCAAGCAGAAGACAAGAAATAACAAAGATCAGAGTAGAACTGAAGGAGATAGAGACACAAAAAAACCCTTCAAAAAATCAATAAATCCAGGAGCTCGGTTTTTTAAAAGATCAACAAAATAGACCACTAGCTAGACTAATAAAAAAGAAAAGAGAGAAGAATTGAATGGATGCAATAAAAAATGATAAAGGGGAGATCACTGATTCCTCGGACATATAAACTACCATCAGAGATTACTACAAACAACTCTACGCACATAAACCAGTAAATTTGGAAGAAATAGATAAATTCCTAGACACTTACACACTCCCAAGACTGAGCCCAGAAGAAGTTGAAATGCTGAATAGACCAATAACAAGGTCTGAAGTCGAGGCAGCAATTAATAGCCTACCAACCCCAAAAAAATCCAGGTCCAGATGGGTTCACAGCTGAATTCTAGCAGACATACAAAGAGGAGTTGGTACCATTCCTGTTGAAGCTATTCAAACAATTCGAAAAGAGGGAATCCTCCCTAACTCTTTCTATGAGACCAACATCATCCTGATACAAAATTCTGGCAGAGACACAACTGAAAAAGAAAACTACTGGTCAATAACCATGATGAACATTGATGCAAAAATCTTCAATAAGATACTGGCAAACCGAATCCAACAGCACATCAAAAAGCTTATCCACCACAATCAAGTAGGCTGCATCCAGGGATGCAAGGCTGGTTCAACATACGCAAATCTATAAACATAATTCACCACATAAACAGAACCAAAGACAAAAACCACATAATTATCTCAATAGATTTAGAGAAGGCCTTTGAGAAAATTCAACAGGTTTTTATGCTAAAATCTCTCAATAAACTAGGTATTGATGGAATGTATCTCAAAACAATAAAAGCTATTTACGACAAACCCTCAGCCAATATCATAGAGAATGGGCAAAAATTAGAAGCATTCCCTTTAAAAACTGGCAGTAGACAAGGATGCCCTCTCTCACCACTCCTATTCAATATAGTATTGGAAGTTCTAGCCAGAGCAATTAGGCAAGAAAAAGAAATAAAGGACATTCGATTAGGAAAAGAAGAAGTAAAATTGTCTCTATTTGCAGACAACATGATCGTATATCTAGAACACCCCATCATCTCAGCCCAAAAGCTCCTTAAGCTGATAAGCAAGCTCAGCAAAGTCTCAGGACACAAAATCAATGTGCAGCAATCACAAGCATTCCTATACACCAATAACAGACAAAAAGAGAGCCAAATAATGAGCAAACTCCCATTTACAATTGCTACAAAGAGAGTAAAATACCTAGGAATACAACTAACAAAGGAGGTAAAAGATCTCTTCAAGGAGAACTACAAACCACTGATCAAGGAAATAAGAGAGAACACAAACAGCTGGAAAAACATTCCATGATCATGGTTAGGAAAAATCAATATTGTGAAAATGGTCATACCGCCCAAAGTAATTTATAGATTCAATGCTATCCCCATCAAGCTACCATTGACCATCTTCACAGAACTGGAAAAAACCACTTTAAACTTCACATGGAACCAAAAGAAAGCCCATATAGCTAAGACAATTCTAAGCAAAAAGAACAAAGCTGGTGGCATCACACTACCTGACTTCAAACAATACTACAAGGCTACAGTAGTCAAAAAAAACATGGTACTGTTACCAAAACGGAGATATAGACCAATGGAACAGAACAGAGTCCTCGGAGGCAACACCACACATCTACAACCATCTGATCTTTGACAAACCTGACAAAAACAAGCAATGGGGAAAGGATTCCCTGTTTAATAAATGGTGTTGGGAAAACTGGCTAGCCACATGCAGGAAGCTGAAATTGGACCCCTTCCTTACACCTTATACAAAAATTAACTCCAGATGGATTAAAGATTTAAACATAAGAACTAACACCATAAAAGCCCTAGAAGAAAACCTAGGCAAAGCCATTCAGGACATAGGCACAGGTAAGGACTTCATGACTAAAACACCAAAAGCAATGGTAACAAAAGCCAAAATAGACAAATGAG